CCACGATATACAATTATTTTTTGAGAAATTACTCATTTTATTTATACACTAAATTAATCTAAAACTTAATTACATCTTTGGCTGAGTGAAGAAATAGATTTCTCAAAAAAGTCGTTGAAAAATCAAAAACGAAAATCTGCGACAAGCACATAGAAATATTCGTTCCGTGGCTTAGTTAGTATGTCGTCTGCCACAGTTTGCTAGAAGACGTTGGCTCAAATCGAGCCTGATCGAAGGATTTTTTTTGCTAAGTGTTCGGTCTTCGTATTAAAATGAAAATTAAGGTGTTCATCGCTCTTATGACTATTTATATGAAACAATCATAACAGTCTTATGACTATTTTCAATTTAAAAATAATACTAGCACGCACTGGTAAGGCAATTCTTTATTATTCTTTTTTCAAATTAATTGACACACTGTTGTTTATTACGTTTCCTTTTGCACGGAGAAAATGGCGGAAGAAAAAATCAAAATAAAAAATGTCTAAAAATGAGCAACTTTTTTTAATAGGCCCTTTCTAACTCTTAATTCCCTTTCCCCTATGTAATTTCACATTGAAGAAAACGTAACCATTGTCGTTTTTTATTTCACACATAACGTTAATACATTATATAGATATCGTTATAATGATAATTATTATTAATTATTGTTCGCCGGTTCTTGAACCTGAGTCCCTGACCCCTGCCGACTGTGCCATTGCCGGGAAATACCGCCTCTCCCATTTAAAAATTCAAAATTAATCTTTTAGGCCTTGGGAGAGGCGAGAGTCTAAAACAGATATAATAACGCACACACTCAACATAGCCCCGCACTACGGAAACCCTGTGCCATGGACACACACATAGATAACCGATAACAAATTACAACCAAACTCACGAGAGAAATAAATATAGGCCATACAAATATTTCTCCCGGCCCGGGAATCGAACCTGGGACCTCTGCGTGGCAATCCCTCATGGTAAACATTCGGCTACGGCGGTAGTCGTTGTAGATTGGTTGTACATAGGAAGATTACTTTTCAATAGCCCCTCGTATTTTAATTAATTTTATTTAGTAATTTATGAGTGCACACGTAGAAATAGGTTGTTTTTTTAATGTAAGTGCTTGTTTTTAACACTTTTTCTGTTTATTGTTCGTTCTTATTTAGTGCTTGTGTTTAATTTGTCTGGAGCTTTACTGCCCTATTTATCATCTAACGCATTTGCATTTCGGTAACTATTGAGATATTGCTAATGAAAAATGGCAGTTAAGCTGATTTTGCTTAACAATAGAAATGAAACTAAATAGGATATAAAACAACTGATTAGAAGGGGTTGTAGATCTCGCTTCAGTGATTCCAGATATCGATGGATTATCTCAACGCAACTTTGCTAAAGTGTCGATTACGTTAGAAAATACAGTGTAGGTGAGTTAGTACCTGTAATTCGCTGTATGTTTTTATTCCTGTTTTTAAAGCTATTGGTTTTACACGAACAAATGACATGGTTGAAAAAATGGCGATTCTGACGCGCTAATCAAACGAATCGTATACCCGCTCAATATTGTTTAAAAGAACGTTTTTTTTTAGTAATAGCGTTGTTCATAGCAACATCGAAAAATAGCAGTGTAGTCTTTTATAACCCCGCGCACCTATTATAGAAGTTAATATAACTTTATTAAAAAGTATTTATTTCAAATATAATAATAAATTGGTTTCAACGCTTCGATAACTCTAGATTGTGAATTTTAACGAGCTCCATTGTGTTTTGCAACTGAGATATTTTCTTCTATTTAATAAGCTCATAACATTGCTACAGTAAATATAAATTTTAATACTTACGCCTGCAGACAGCTTATGTTTCAAAAAGAAAAATGAAACTTTTGTAATTGCTAATTTAATAGACCAGGCGCTTATAAACAACCTTGAGATTTTATTCTTATTCTAGAGCATACAACCTTGCCACGTATGTCAATGTATATAATTCTGAGTACTCACGTGCGCCGTTGCAATGGAAACCACGCAGGCCGACACAGTGACTCGTGCGGAGTGGAAACGGGAGCAGGACGGAAAGCGCGTAAAACGCGCTTTACAACTCGCGCGCTAACTGCTAGCATGCCGACCATTACAACAATACAGGCGCCACATAATGCTGCCCATAGTATCTGTGAAAAAAAAACAACAATGTGATGGATGTTTGTAAACACTGTAGTTTAGCTGCCGAGGCTTTGAAAATCAACACAGCAGTGTCGTTACAAACTTATTTATTTATGACTGGGCACTTATGATCTCAATTTAACACATAAATATTAAGATTACATACAAAATCGTTCTGGGAAAACAATTGCACGCGCCATATTAGCACTAGCGGAGAGTCTCGGCATTGACCAAAGTAAGGGTTCCACTTAATTCTTATTTTTTGCGTAAAACCCTATTACTTGTAATTTGTAACAGCAAAACTAAAATAAACTTATACTGCCTCAGTGGCCGAACGGTTATGACGCTGGTCTGCCACTCAGAGACTCCTGGTTCGATTCTAGGGTCGGGAGAAATATTCGTATGGCCTACATTTATTTCTGTCGTGAGTTTCGGTGCAATTTGTGTGGTTGTCTATGCGTGTGTCCATGGCACCCGCGATACAGGGTTTCCTTAGTGCGGGGCTATAAGTGTGTGCGTTAACAAAATTAACGTTAACAAATAAAGTACTTACATAAGGTCCAATTTTCGTGCCACTGCTCTCTCTTGGATCTAGAAGGAGAACAGACATTTGTACTCAGATATATCAATAACTTAAGTTAATTTTAATCTAAAATTCATGAAAACATCTCACCATAAGCAGTGGCGTTTCCCTCTGGCCCAACGCAACCTCTTTCATCAATTAGGGCAACCCAGGCGAGTATTTTTACATCCAACGTTATTCGCTTATTACTTCGTTCACCGTCACGTGGCGTCGGCCCGGTTCGCTCAGTAACAGGTACTAACAAATATAACGGATCCTCTCCAGCCGTGACCAAGCCAGTAGTGTTCAAATAACGAGGCAATGACCGTTGTAACACTTCTTTTCCTATGCTGTGGACAAGATATACGATATTTAACATTACATAGCAATGAGACGAAGCACAAAGGACGTCTTTATTGCCGTGTGCTCGTCTTTACTGTCGTTTTTTCAAATAACTGCATAAAAGGAGGAGATTTTCAAATACACTGTATATTTTTGTGTATGTTTCGCGGTTACGCATGTAAACCGATTTCGATGATTCTCTGTTTGTTGAAAAGGGGAGGTTCCATTTAAATTTGAAGAAAATATTCCGTCTCTAAGAGTTGCTAGTTAGGGGGAGGAGGGGGGGAACTTCGCAAATAGAAAAAGTAACGGGACGAACAAGTGATGCACCTGATAGTAAACTACACGCCTGTCCATAACAGTTGCAGTGCCACACAGAGCTTTAAATTGCAAAGCTCTGAGGGGCACTACCGCTGCGCCTATCGCCCTGAGACATAAGTTGACAAGTCCCATGTAGCTGTAATTTCGCGATAAGTGAATCCCACAAACTTGTAAGGTTTTTTATTATTAGCAGTTGAACTACTTGTGTAAGATTTCGTCCAGAGAAGTACTACCACCTTACCTATTTCTGCTGCCAAGCAGTAATGTCAGCATTACTGAGTTCCGGTATTGAAGGGTAAAGGTGCTGGTGAAATTACAGGCACATGAGACTTGTCAACTTATGTCTCAGGGTGACAGACACAATGGCTATGACCCCTATAACTTTGCATCTTAAAGCTCTGAGTGGCACTGCAACTGTTATGGACAGGCATGACCTTACTATCAGGCGCACGACTTGTTCGTCCCGTCACTTGATATTATATATAAAAAAACAGTAGTGTACCATTCCATATAGTAATTAATCATATACAAAGTCATTGTCTAATTACACTATGATTATGACAATCACAAGCATGTGAAAACGAGCTTAAGCTTGTGAAAGTGTCAAGACCTCCAAAGGCAGGCAAAGAAATTCCAACAACCCTTATCAAAGTCACAATTGGATCGTAAATGTACTTAACTGGAGCAAAAGGTCCGACATTACGTTTACCGTAAGCTTTCTCAATTAGTATTTTGTGCACTGGTGAACTTTCTAAACAGTCGAAAAGGTATAATTGGTGCCAGAATAATATTCGTGTATAAGAAATTTTAGTGTGCAATTGTTCAAAGTTTTGCCAAAGTTACTAAATAAATTCTGCAATAGATTGGAAATCTTCTCCCTGTTGCATCTCCACTCATGGCTAATGTGACCACTATTTATTTCCGTCAAAGCCCGTAAATTTATTATTGTTTTAATAATCTTCGTACAGAGTACTAAAAAACCGATCTCAAAAGTTCATGGAACTATCTGTCGTGGTACTATTTGCATAGTTTTATTGAAATCGATTACCGGAAAGTGCGCGAAACTGGATTCATTCCCTAGTTTGCCACTTTTAGTGGTGGAATATTGTCTCCAAATTTTAATGGGACGATTACTGAAGTACCCTCTTTCCAATAAAAAAAAAGAATCATCAAAATCGGTTCACAAATGTTGAGTTATCGCGTAACATACATACAAAATTTATAATTATCTCGTATATCCTTCATACATATATTAATATTATGTTATACATTGATAACATCTTTCAACATAATCCGTTAATCCTCGATTAACAAGAATTCATCACAAATCCGGAAATGGGAAACAAGACGCATAATTGGAAACGTAAGCGGAAAATCCGCTTATTGGTTTTCATGAACTTTAACTTTACAACGCCGCCAAAAACAAATTTCTTATTAAGAGTCAATTACATATGCACTGAAGTATTGAATACGTTCATGTTTAAAACGTGTCAAGCATGGAAATGAGGAAAAACGAATTGGAAGTAATAATAATAAGAGAAGAAGAAGTGAACATACAATCAAAAAGATACGTCTTTGGAAATCTTTAGATGTATAATCATTAAAGCATCCATCCATTAATTATAGCCATCATCTGTATTCGAATTCTCCTCCATCATCCGTCGTGACATTTAATAAAAATTAATTATCAGCAACACACATACGTGACACTTGTGGGCACGGATTTTTATTATTATTTTTTATATTTTATACACTCGCGAGCAACCAAACCGACTCAGACCCTACACCTGCATATAAAGTAGTTTTTATCAAAAACTACGCAGTCAATTAATAAAAATGTCTTATTTTCTGATAGCCTGAAACTTTAGCTGTAAGATGGTCTCATTAGCATAAAAATCGATTGCGTGGTTTTTAATGTAAAAATAATGGTAATAGAGTTAACAATTAGGGAAAATAGGAATTTAGAAAAATAATTTATGGAGATTGTTATTTAAATTAAAACAAAAATAATTAAAATAATAATAATAAATTTATTTAATTAATATTTGGTGTTACCCCCTCTAGCCCTAGTAACAGCTTGTAGTCGATTTTTCATTGACCTGATTAACTTTTTAATAACTTCTTGAGGAATTCCGTCCCATTCCTCTAACAACGCCGTCTTGAGCTCATTGATATTTGAAGGCCGGATTTCTGGCTCGGACCCTTCGTTTGAGCTCGTCCCATAAATGTTCGATGGGATTCATGCCTGGACTAAGCGCTGGCCAGTCCATGGTCTGTATACGGACTTCTTCCAGAAACCGCTTAGTTATACGCGAAGTGTGACACCGGGCATTATCGTGCATCAATAAGAAGTTATCGCCTACAAACCCCGCGTACGGAACAACATGTTCTAGGAGAATATCGGTAATATACCGATCGGCTGTCAATCCTCCTCCTCGGCCCCCCCAGACACGAAAACGAGTTCGGTTTTCCCGTCTAAAGAAATTCCAGCCCACGTCATACAAGAGCCGTCGCCATATGCAACAGTTTCAGCGAAACAGCACTGCGAAAATTGTTCACCTGGGCGCCTATACACCCGACCTCTTCTATCACTGCCATGCAGACACATTCTGCACTCGTCAGTAAACAAGCCAGCCCGCCATTGCTCGTGGTTCCAATTGAGGTGCTCTCTAGCAAATTGCAGGCGCGCTTGTCGATGGCTTGGCGTCAATTTCGGACCAGTTGTAGGACGTGTTGGTGTAAGGTTGGCTTCCCTCCCGCGTCTTCGAACTGTCCACTTGCTTACAGCCACTCCTCGAACATGTCTTAGCTCTTGCTGTACGTCGACACCAGTCAGGTGGCGATATCGTTGAGATGTAGAGACTATGAACCGATCGTCGATTTGAATTGTGCACCTGTGACGGCTGTTTCTCGGCCTCCGGTCGAATACACCAGTCTCTAGAAATCTTCTGTATACCCTTGATACAGCAGATTGGCTTAGGTGCAGTTGAGCAGCGACAGATCGCTGACTAAGTCCCTGTTGCAAAAGAGCAACAACTTGAACGGCTTCTTCCGGTGTTGTATCCATGGTTTTGTCAAAATAGTGATGGCGATTCACGGAGATGCGTTCAGGTCACTTCTGGAAAGCGACAGTAGGCATAAGCCGCGTGCGGGAGGTTTTATAGGGTTAGTTGGTCGCCCAACTCGTACTGGGTACCGCGAGTAAATTTTCCTGTACTGCCTATTTTATTTTATTTTTTTAAAACTACTGAATCGATATTGATGATAATACATTTTTAAAGCTGAAGTTTCAAGCATTTTAAACATATAACGTTTTTATAATTCGGTAGTAGACCTTTTGATAAAACCTACTCTTAATGCGCGCTTAGACATTGAGTCGGTTTGATTGCTCGCGAGTGTAGTTATACATCAACAGTAGTACATATAATCTTGGATAACAGTGTACAGCGTAGTAATATAAGTACTTATATGTCCACCTATTAGAACGCGTTCGTATCATGTCATAAAGTTTTATTTGTCGATGGACGACTGTCGCGTCTAGCCTGTTCCCATATCACGATTATCTGTCGTGACTGTTTATTTTATCGTTGAGCGACTGTCGTGTCTTGCTGTTCCCACTAGACCGAGGCGACAATTTATCGGTTCACGGCAGCCACCTTGTCGTTTGCACGACAGAATCGTTTGAAGCTACGACTATCTGTCGTAACATTTTTATCGTGACGTTTTATTTATTGTCAGACGACTGTCCTTATAGCTCTTCTTATTATCACGACAGTCTGTCGTCGCAACGTCAAAAAAGTCGTGAACGGCATTTAATCGTCGTAACGTTTTACTATATGTGAACAACTTCATTTGAATATACAACTCTCTACGTACTCTGCACGACTATCTGTCGTCACGACATGATGGGCACGCGCCCTTACGGATGTACCCAGTATTTTGTGTAATAAAATAATAATAAGCAACAAAAAAGACAACAAAAAATCTTATGAAATTACTGGGGAAGCGATTCGAAAATGTTATTTCTGAAAACATTACGGGAAGAATAAAAAATATATCTATATCTATTCGACCGTCAATTTGGTTGTAAGTAGAGGATAATCTAGGTAGTGGACTGTGCAGAGCTAGGTTAGTCCAGCATCGTAGTATACTAAATATTTTGGCACATCGTGGTAAATTAAAACGTGAAATACACAGAGAGCGGGTGCGAGTCGGGTCGGAACCGCGGCGAGTCTAATTCCGTGTATTTATATGGACGACAACACCAAGAGTGCGGGCGCAAGGGTCCCGTCCCGACCAGCGCCCGAACCGCACCCTCTATCTGTGTCTTTCACGTCATAAAGACAATGTAAAGCCATAATCCTATTGGCTCTGTGCATATTGGGAATATATATAAGTGCCTTCATGGGGAACGTTTATTCTCCGACATGCAGGTGTCCTCGCGATGTTTTCCTCAATGAACCCTTTTATTTGATACATAACCACCTTTTTATTTGATTTTTTTTTATTGTTACTTCACTAATATTTTATTGTTATTTTACGATAAGAATTTAGCTAATGACAGATTTACAAATGAGTCACTTTAGTGTAATTATTAATATTATTTTTTGTTTTTATTTTTCTTTATTATTAATATATATTCGTTATATTGAAAAACACGTATTTTTACATGTACCAATATTTTAATGACAATGAAAGGTAGGCGGTGACATAACAAAATGTAGCATATTTCCACCCATGTATATATCAGGTCCACCATCTTAATTTTGACGAGGAACTCTGGTTGCCAACTGGTGGTCTGTCTGCCTCTTCCAGACTTCTCCGTGGTCAGTTTGAAGTTCGTAATGTAATTGGCCCAACTTCCCTCTTACGGTCGTCAACACTAATTTAGGACCAGTGGGCTTGTAGTTACGGGCCTGAACTCTCTGGCCCTCCCGGAGAGTCCGTAACAACGTGGAAAATTGCGTGCTAGAGGTGGAGATGTGGGAAAATTGCGTGCTAGAGGTGAAGATGTGGTCGTTGCTGGTTTAGCAAATAAGGCGTGTAAGTTAGTTCTAATTGGTCTCCCAAACATCATCTCATAGGGACGGATGTCAGTTGAACGATGTAGTGTTCTCCGTGTTGGGTCTTAATAATTGTTAATTTATCTTGTATATTTATTGATTTTTGTTTCATTTGTAACTTTTAATTTATTTGCCTAGACGGTGAACGGTGTACGGTCAGACAAAAACTGGTTTTTGTTACACCGTTAGCAGCCTAGATTTAAGTTTTTCTTTTTGTGCCTATTTTTTAATAAATAAATAAATTTATTTATCTTGAATATATTTTATAATATATAAATATATACATTATTTAATAACACGGTGGTAATTGACGAGACAAAACGGTTTTGACTCAGCGGTCGTGGGAAACCACGGCCTCTGTTATTCTGCCATAACCTTGTTAATAAAGCATAAAGATATTTTAGGACATCGAGACTGCATAATTAACCCGTTCAGCATCAACCCATTCCAAGCGTAAGAGCGTGCTGTATAAGTAGCCATTCGCGATAATATTTTACGAAATGCTGAAACTATACGTTTAAATTCAAAGTAATAGCGGGGTTCCGTCATTCGCTCGACGTTACGCGATAAGTGCCTACCACTGAGTGTATTGCCGACACTGCAAGCGCCCAGACAAGTCTTTCATTTACATTACAATCCTTGTATAACCCCAGCATTCGGTTCCGCACGACAGCACACGGCGAGCATCGTTAGGCTTGATTCATATCGCCAAAAAACGAGCATTACTTTAGTTTATCGTCTACAAAATAAGGCAACATTTCATTAAACAAACTGTGGTAGGCGCAATTTATAAAATGCAATATACTATAGAACATATTCTCTACTAAATAAAGTATACATTTCTTCAAACAACAAATAGCAAATGCACAAGGCGAAGGTGCTCATATGGCATGTATAGTTCGCCGCTTCTTTAACCTCAGTCCCTGATTCCAGTCCACTGTGCCATTGCTAACGAATACGGAATATGGGTAAATACACTGCACAGATCCAATTAAAATACTCAGTCCGGACCAATTTAGAAAAGTTTATTCCTAAATTGATTCTACTGAGAATCGAACCCAGGAGACAAAGTGTGTTAAATTTGGATTACCTAATGTAAAATCGACTAGCCCGATCATAGAAATAAATGGAGAAAACTTAAACATTGTTAATAAAGCTGTAATTTTGGGAGAGACCTTAGACAGTAAACTTCTATGGTTTCCACATATATCTTCCTTGGCCAGTAGATTATGCTCTGCTGCACGCGCATTTTGTAGAATACGTGAGCTTGCCGATATTGCTACTGCTACACTAGTTTAATTTAGTTACTTTCTTACTATTGTCATGTAGGGTAAAGCGGTAGATATACAAACCATATTTGTGTTGCAAAAACGAGCGATTTGTTCTGGTACCGTTTAGGTTCTCGGGTCCCTCTCAGAGAAAAGTTTAAGGAGACTGGTATCATGACTGTGGCATCACAGTACATTCACTCAAATGTTTTGAATGCCCGTAAAAATAATACATAATTTCGATAAGAAAGAAGATATCCATAAACTTAGAACTAAGTCCAAACTCATGATACCACGATTTCGTTTGACCAATGTAATGTGATTATTTTATGGGGATCTGTATACGTTATTACAACAAGATTACGGAGCATATATTAAGATTTCCATTTCCTAAGTTTAAAAATTACATTAAAAGTATTTTAGTTGAAAAGTCATGTTACAAAATTATTACTGAATTATTGTTACAAAATTGAAATTATTATTACAAAATTATGACTACGTGTCAGATAAAGATGTATGGAAAGACAACATTAGTCTAGATTCCACACAATTATGATTCAAAGTGTATTCCATAGCATTTAAGTAAGTTTATTTCAAAAGAGCAATTCCTAGAGTTTCTTGCTCGTTCTTCTCAGGGCGGTCAGCGGAGTGAACGAGCAGTAGCTTAAAAAATGACGTTTGCAAGTGTAAAATTGTTACCTATGGAATAAAATGATTATTTGACTTCAACTTTAACGGGATCTTCTCATCTTACGATATTTTTTATTACTCTTCAAAGTGATAATTATATACTATGTAATTCCCAATAAGCACATAGGTCGAGAGGCTTATGCTTTCCAATTATTTATTCATAGTAAAACTTAGCTATTACGTTTGGTGATAAATAATATGCGAAATAGAAACTAACGTAACATGATAAGACTGTTTCGTCAAGTTCCTGGGCAGGCGCTGCGGAAATTTCGGTGGGGGCAGGGACCAGGTCACGTTGACAAAAAGTTCTCCCATGATGGAGACTACGCGGGCTGACACTTCGGGGGTGGGGAGCCGCTCGGCGTGGGCGCAGGAACACACGCTTGCAACACATTCTGGAACAAAATAAAGCTTTTTAGACGAATACTGATGAACTACATGCAGCCCTAACTATTGTCTGTAGTTTTTATTTTAAGTGAAAATTTTGTTTGACAGGTTCGTCCAAGGAATTACTGCCATCTTACCTATTTCTGCCGTCAATCGGTTTCAAACTGAAACTCAAATCATCTTTATTTCATAGGTAAGATGAATTACAGTTGAAATCGTCATATTTTATAATATAAAAGTAGGTAACGAGACTTACTCGCGTAGTGTTAGTCGAAAGCGGTTCGACTAGTTTCGACCATAATCGATGGACTTCTTCAGGGGTTGAGTGCAACGTTCGCGACCGCATCTGCGCGCGCGCCGATGACGGAGTCCGCAGTGGGGAACTCGGGGGGCTGATATGTTGCGTCAGCGCGTCCTGGAACTCTTCTTTCTTACTGCTGTCCATAGGATTGTTGTCGGGAACAGCTACGCTACGAAACAGCCACGCTACCGGTCTCTCTACCGATGCTGGTCGAGGCCTCGTTGATGCAATTGCCAAAAAAAAAATTAATAGAGACGGAGGCTGGAGCTTGCCACCGACCTGGAAGCTGTGTCTTCATGTCGCTCGGTATGCAGCTGCAGATGTTAGTAGTAACGACGAGGTGAGCTCTGTGTGCTGGACTGTTCCCGACAACAATCCTACGGACAGCAGTAGCGAAGAAGAGTTCCAGGACGCGCTGACGCAACGTATCAGCCCCCCGAGTTTCCCTCTGCGGTCTGCGTCATCGGCGCGCGCGCAGAGAGCCGCAGCGCGCAGTGCTAGACGTGACGCGGTCGCGAACGTTGCATTCAACTCCTGAAGAAGACCATCGATTATGGTCGTTACTTTTATATTATAATGTGTGATAACCGCGTTCGTTTTCATAATAAAATCGTCATATTCATTAAACTCTACTGCTCATTCGTAAGGCAGATACCCCTGACAAGAATGAGCAAGAAACTCTAGGGGTTACTCTTTGTAATATACGTATGAATAAAAATGGAAGTAATTTGCTTCCATTTTTATTAACATGGTCTTCCGCAAAGTAACGCCTGAATCTATTAATTACGTATAAATACATTCTATCATTTACAATTTATTTCAAACGTCACATCGATTATAGAAAGGGTCATTACCATGGATTTTTATTTTCCAATTACGCTGAAGTTGTATAACAATCTTTCGTTTAAAGTTTTTGTTTCGCTACAGTTTTAAATCTCGTAAATGATTTTTTTTAAATAATAAATAATAAAACGGTAATGTGAGCATTAATGCGTTCCGGTTTTGGTAAGGGTGCTGGTGAAATTACAAGCACATGGAACTTGTTAAATATGTTTCCGAGTGACAGGCAAGTGGCAGTGTCTTTGCGATTTAAAGCTCTAAGTAGCGCTGCAACTGCTATGGACAAGTGTATCGCTTACCAACAGGCGCACGAGTTATCTTGTTCGTCCCATCACTCCTTGTCTACCGTGTCTCTATGCACCGACCCAAGAGATAGGGTTTTCCGGGAGACTACGGGCTCCGTGGCAAGACCAGGGCGGGCGTCCGGGCCAAGCCCTCCTCCAGTGATACGCCTTCACGGGCGTCTCTAGTGGACCCGGAATTGGGCATGGACTCGCCGTGGTTTGTGGTTAGCTGTCGCTGATGAGCACGTTCGTCTGCCCCGGTAGTATCTAGCCGGGGCGTTCGTCCCGAGAGTAGCTAACGCGTCTTAGTTGCGGTCTAGTTGAAAGCCTGAGGCGAGGAGACGCGCTGGATTGTCCTTTAAGTCGGTAGCTATGTACGGGCATTGTCGCAGGACACTGCTACCTGGCACTAGCCCAGAGAGCTAGTAGAGGACGAGCTAGACATCCTCCGATCCCCCCGGCCGCGTAGGAATTTGGAAACTGGAGAGACGTCGTTCATTCGGCGTCGGGAAGTGAGCGTGCCTTACAGCTCCGCCACCAATGAGGAGATTTGGTAGTCGACTTAGAGTCGGCGGCTCAGCGGTGGCAACCGCTAGTTGTACAATGCGCAACGGGAAGTGAGCGTGCCTACAGCTCCTGTACCTATCTGGAAAATAGGGAGGGTGCTGTACGTGCACCCGGGGCAGCTCACCTAACGCACTAACCTTACAAAGAACTCCGGTTCTTTCCGGTTCTAAAATCTGGGGTTAGGATTTGACTTAGTGCGGGCTCGGTCGCCCTTCCCGCATAACCAAGAGGTTGATAAGGAGGAGCACTACAAACAAAACTTATATAGAAAGATATGGGACTGTTGATCCCGTTACTCGATATCATAATAAAATAAATCGATTTTACTGCGTATAATAATTAGTGTGAATTTCCAAACACAGAACAGTAGAAGGACAATTTTTCAGTAAATAAGCCCGAAAGCAGTAGAGTGAGCATTAACGCGTTCCCGTTTTGAAAGTGACTCGTGAAACTATAGGCACATGAGACGTGTCAAATTAATGTCTCAGGGTGACGGATGCAGAAGTAGTCAATTAGACCTTTGCGACTTATGGCTCTCTGAGTGACACTGCATCTGTTATTCATAAGGGTGTCATTGACCACAATTAGACATTACACTAATACATAAACTAAAAAACCTGACAGACAAAGTAAATTATATAAACAATCAACCTCTTATTTCATAGAGCATCATTCAGCAAAAAGAGTAAAATCAAGCATGAAAAAGTAGTAATCATTCTTGGCTGATCTGCCATAAAGGTATTCTCATGAATGTATAATAATTACGAAACATGAGAAGATATATATTTCAATCTATACGATTCAGATAGTTTTGAAATTGTAGTTCAATTGTAATAAATCAAATCGAGTACTCGTGTAAACATTGATTCTATTTTGATCCGACACCGCGAGGAAATTAGATTAAACAATAGAGCTCTGGAATCTATATTGTAACAGGTTCGTGTAACTATTATCTTGGAAGAAGATTGGGATAAGAGTAACATCTCAGAGAAAGAGAAAATATTATACGCGCCATTTAAACCAGGTCCTTATTTACTACAGCAAATTAGCAGCAGGCAGCTGTAGAACTGTTAGTAATTTAATTAAATTCATAAATGTGGTAAAAGAAGGAAATAAAATTTTATTCCCCCATTAATCAAACGGTTTTTCATAAAGCTTAAAACATATGAAAGGTATGAAAATGGTCAAAAATAATAATCATATACTAGATAAGCTGTAGGCAAAATATTGGAAATTGTAATTAAAAACTATATAATTTAAACTGAAAATAATTGTCTATTTGAATGTAATGTAAACATGGCAAATAATCTCTCCCGATAAACTTTTTCGAAATTTTAGAGAACTTTTATCTCTATTTGTTTTATTATGTCATTTGAAAGAATAAATAAGATAAAAAATTTAAAACCAAAATCGCCGATTGAGTACAATATTTTACAGGATGTACTGTATACTTTTTCAATCTCACGAAGTTACACAGACAAAAACAACGTTCTTAAAGATAATACGTGCACATAATTGTTTACATGCCGTGTCTAAAATGTTTCTTTTATTGTTTCGTTAGCTAGGAAACAAAACAATAAATTGCAGTATAATTAAAAAATGGAGAATGTAGGTAGAGAATGCCTAATAGTCCGTCATTTGTACTGTTTTGTGTGCAATAGAATTTGCATCAAGCATCCTTTGGTAGGTTAAATTCAGACTCTATTTTTATAAGCATATTAAGGAATATATAAGCACGAGGAGATCAAAAACTATCGTGTCAGAAAGTGTTAATTTGAAATAACAAACAAAATTAGCAAAAAACGTAATTTAACAATCAGATAATTCGAGCTCATTTATGATTGTTGCCAAGCGTGTGTCCGTATTACTGGATACTGGAAAAGCGAAGAAAAAATTTTGATTCCTCTATAAAGTTATGGGCACTATTTGTTTCATTTTTTTTTGTTTGTCTTGTCAGCAGTTGAAGATACACTACGTTTTATGTTTCATCTGGTAGATAATGATAGATAGCAATTCGTGTATAAATTACCTTTTGCGATAAGATTAGATGGTCATTGGGTTTAGGTATTGTAACTGAGGCGTAGCTTGGGATGCGTAGCGAGAGGTACTTTTATGAATATAAACCGGAATAATCTTCAAAATTTACTTTATTGCACTTTTTTACATACTTTTAGCGTTTGGTTATATTTCGGTATGTCAAGATGCTCTATTCTTTTTTTTACTTCATTTTTTAACACACATTCTAATTACAAAACTATTCATTCAGCCAGTGATTCTACTCATAGAGTAGAGCCTAGACTACACAGTATTATATGGAAAATTATTAGGAATTGCTCTGAGTCACAAAACTTCAGCCAGCATTTCTTAAATATAAATAAATAACAGACAACATCACATACGTTGCTCAGATTAAGTAACTAAAAAGTAAGTAACTAAAGCACTTGTGTTATGGAAATCGGAAACAACGGCTGTACCACGAATACTTAGACCCGAGACAATATAGAAAAGTTAGTTTTTCTACATTAATCAAACCCCGGACCTCAGAAATGGCGACACCATGAAAACCAGCGTGCAAGCCAGTCGATCACGAAAGTCGTCTAAATAGTCGTATTAATTTATTATTTACGTAAAAATATAATTATCAAAGTAAATTTTAAAACCATTGTGTAATTATGTCAAAGTTGTTGTCATAATGGTGTGTTGCGAATGCGTCGCGAACACGCTGCATGCGCACTGCACGCGCGCTGCACGCGCGCTGCATGCGTGCAGTTAAATACATATTAATATACATTGTGGCGCGAACGGCACTCGAACAACGTAATGCACGTGTGCAGCTCGCGACGCTTTCGCGAACAATAGCAAACATTGTGTACGTCTGTAATTGTCAATTTTGTCAGTTGTACTTTTATGTCTTATGTTCATTGATTGACAATACGAAGTTGATGTGCCTATTATAATAAAATAAAAATAGAATTTCACCAGTTGATCCCCAGAATGTCACGACTATATTCCTGATAAATACATATATTAAACATATAGTACTCTCGGCACATAAATGGTATTTAAGTGATAGATAATTTGAAAAGTGTGACGTGATAGAGAAGTTACATCTCGTGGGAAATAGGAAAGCATCAGCGAAATTCAAACAGGTCCATCAGCGAAGTTTGTAATGGACATAACGAGGGCTGGGACTTAGTAAGGGACCTTGGAAATTCTAGCGTACATTACTTTGAACATCAGGAAAGTACTTGTCAATCTAATTAATGTACATTTAATTAGTGTACAAGGAAATATCGTACAGTCAAAATCAGTATACATCCTTGGTATACAGGAGGTAAGCGTGCTGGTGAAATTACAGGCACATGGGACTTGTCAACTTAAGTCTCAGATGACGAGCACAGAGGCAGTGCCCCTAAGATCTTTGCGATTAAACTAACTACCACTAAGTGGTACTGCAACTGCACTGGATAAGCGTGTCGCTTACCATCAGGTGCACGATTTGTTCGTCCCGTCACTAAAAATGTCCAAATCAATAGTATACCAAGGAGGTACCTTGTGGCCACATTAGTATGTGGGGGGGGGGGGGGGGCTGATGCCGGTGGTGTTA